TTTATATATATATATATATGTATGTATATATCAGCTTTTTAGAAGTACAACTTTTTTTTTTTTGCTTATGCTAGAAAATACAGAGATGCCAGATACATAAGCTGAGATTAGATTACAGCCAAATTTCAAACATATCAAACTTCCAAAATACAAGTCTACTGTTAAAATTGTAATTGAATTCAGAAATTCAAGATTTGATAAGTGTGTACTCAACTGATCTTATTTATAGAAAGATGTAATATGTAGATATTACAGTGTCTTGCCATTAGAAGCCATTTTACCCCAGAAATACTCAATACATGCCCACATTAGACTCCTGTAAGCCATCATGTATTAACCACTGCTATTTTGCCAAGCAAAGATTTAAATAAAAACAGCCTGTTTGCTTAGACCTATAACAGACTGCTTTAAGAATATGCATCAGAAAAGAGGTAAGAAAAGGTCAGTTTGTGAAAATCACTAGAAATAAAAACTGAAAAGAACACAAGAAGAACGTGATGAGATGCAGCAGTTTAGAGGAAGAGAGGACCCATTCTTGGTCAAAAATAGCTAGCTATCTATACTGTACAGTTCCTAGGGCAAAGCTCTGACTTACTGGAAAGCTTACATATCTGTTGATTATGATAGAGCAACACTACAGATTTTACTAAAGCAAGAAAAATACTTAGATTTAAAATGAAGATTTTTTTTAAACAGTTAGCTAGAAGATTAATTATTAGAATTTGGAGTACATACCTTGGCTACAGAAATAGCATGAAGAGCCTGATATTGCAGATACTGAGCAATGTGCGTCACAGAATCTGCCACAACCATACTTCTTCGGTAAAACATGTGTTCTATTGCCTAAAGTCAATCCCAAAACACAATAGTTCATGTAGTTAATGACATTGTTGCCTTTAGAATTTAGCTTTATGCTGGCAGACTCATCCACACTGCAAATACAGACTCTTCCTACTTTGTAGTATACTGTTAGTAGCAGCTGAAATTAACCCTTAGAAACTGAGAAAATCAAATCATTCAGGAGCATAAAAAAGTTTCAAGACTGATGTAAGTTCTGTTGTTTTTTTGCGCTTTTTTATATAATCCAGCTCTGTTCAACATTGCTTTCTGAAATCATTCAGGAGCATAAAAAAGTTTCAAGACTGATGTAAGTTCTGTTGGTTTTTTGCATTTTTTTAAATAATCCAGCTCTGTTCAACATTGCTTTCTGAAGTTATCTCAAAACAGAGTATTTTCCTTTTGGAAAAAGTACCAGGAGAAGTGCAAAGTCCTGCACCTGGGGAAGAACAACCCCATACACCAATATATGTTGAGAGCCATCAAGCTGGTAAGCAGCTTGGCAGCAAAGGAGCTACGGGTCCGAGTGGACACCAAGTTGAACATGAGCCAGCAGTGCGCCCTTGCCGCAAATAAGGCGAGTGGTATCTTTGGCGGCATTCGACAAAGTATTGCCACCAGGTCGAGGGAGGTGATCCTTCCCCTCTACTCAGCACTGGTAATGCCACACCTGGAGTACTGTGTCCAGTTCTGGGCTCCTCAGTACAAGAGAGACATAAACATACTGAAGAGAGTCCAGCCAAGGGCCATGAACATAATTAAGGGACTTGAACATCCTCACACATGAGGAAAGGCTGAGAGCTGGGATGGTTCAGCCTGGAGAAGAGAAGGTTTGGGGCAGGGTGGGAGGGAGGGAGGGGGCACAAATCTTATCCATGTGTACAAATACCTGAAGGGAGGATGCAAAGAAGACTGAGCCAGGCTCTTTTCAGTGGCACCCAATGACAGGACAAGGGGCAGTGGGCACAAATTGAAACACAGGAGGTTCCCTCTCAACATCAGGAAACATTTTCTTACTGTGAGGCTGACCAAGCACTGGCATAGGCTGGTTACCCAGGGAGGCTGTGGAGTCTCCATCCTTGTAGATAGTCAAAAGCCATCTGGACACAGTCCTGGGCAACCAGCTCTAGGTGGCCCTGCTCGAGCAGGGGGAAGTTAGACCAGATGACCTCCACGTCCCTTCCAACCTCAATGATTCTGTGATACCAACTAAGGAAGGCAGTTAAATAAATCAGTTCTAGCCTCCCAAATCTCCTGTTCTCTAACCAAATCCAGTCTTGAACAAGAAGCCATGCAAAAACATGTCCCCACTCAGTTGTGGGTTTTTGGGGTTTGTTTTTTTTATGGGGTGGGGGGTTTAATATGTGATGTTTGATCAGTTTTCATCCAGTGACCTACCTTCAGAAGTTCTACAAGTCTGCACAGAGCTTTCACCGATGTTTTTGTCATAGGTTTTTGCATTGACATGTAGAGATTCATTGTAGTTTTAATGATGGTGCTAAGACTGTATGCGTAAAGAAAACCCTAAAAATAAAATGAGTAAAGAGGGGAAAAATTTTTTTCACAACATATCAATCAATCAAGTCCTCTCTGTTTTCTTTCATACATGACAGAACTAACTTTTACCTCTTCACACTAGAGAACCTACCCCTCCACATAATAAGCAAGCCTGAGATCCCAAAGCTGAATGAGACTCTTTTACTGGGCAGACATTATGAAACCGCCTAAAAGTCATTAGATCACCTGATCATTAACTTCTTATAGAGCCATTCAAATTAAACACAGGTCAGTGAATTAATTGCACAGCCTCAAAGGTCTAATAATTTCAGACCTATTGTAAAGCAACCCATCAAACAACTCCCCCCTCCCGCCCCGCCCAAAACAGCCTATCACAAAAACAAACTAAAACTTCCCGATTCCGTGGAATAAATACACTGACAGTATTTGCACAGTTCTACACTGTCTAAATAGACCAGTCCATCCCACAGTAAAAAAACCCCAATCACTTCTAAATCAATGTATGCTAAGCTTTTAAATACAATGTTGATTACATACAGCATGACAAAAATGTTATTTGACTTATTTCAAAGGAAAAGTAGTAACAAAAAGA